TGAGGTAGTTCTAAGTGCACTCTTTCGAGAAAAAGTCCCAAAAATGAACTCATCTTGCAGGTTTTCAAGCACAATCGAAACAACATGTAAACAATATGCTAAATGTCAATAAAAACGACTAACAAGCATGAATATAAGACACTGTTTTGTTGTGGACCTACATGTAACGTACATCAGAAGTAGAAACGAGAATGTCAATTTTTTCATCTCAGGAAGTTGCTGACAAAATTAACTGTTGACGGTCCGTTTCTATGTACAATGTATATGCCTCGGAAACGCCGTAATATTTATCAATGGACATTCGCAATCTCATATATGACTTTAGGTTCTTCTGTTCATTAACTGAAATAACAAATCAAATAAACATTCAGGATTAAAATCAGCATGTTTGAATTCTCCGTTACGTCATTGTTGTTCCAGATGTCCCAACCAATTGCAACAATGTGCAGTAATGGAAAGAAGAACGTATTCCCAGTTAAAATAAATACAAAAAAAGTACATGTACATAATTTGACAAACTTCAGACGAAATAAAATACTTTAAACACATAAAATAAACTTTAACAATGTAATGTTCTTGCTTTTTATTCATTAAGCATGCATACACTCTAAAAAAAGTTTTACTTGTTGCTTTTAAAATAATATATTAGATTAAGAAAAACTAGTAATTATTAGTAATCCATTTAGTCAGAATAGCAAGTAAATGACTATCATTGTTAGTAATTGTAAACATAATTAGTAATAAGGATGAATTCATTTACTTATAAAATGATTTACTAAGTATAAAATAATAATACGTAATAGGAATTATATTACTTAGTAGATGAACTACTCATTTTTACTATTTTTTAATAAATCATTATTACTTAATTTAGAGATAATACTCTTTCAATTTACTAGGTTTCACAAATTATTACTAAGTAAATGTAATTCTGGAATTAATGGATATCTAGAATACTATTACTTAGGAGAATGCTAAGTAAATGAAATGCTTATCATATTTACTAAAATCGACATTATTTCTTTGTAATTGTTTTATTATAATTATCAATAAAACATTTAATTCCAACATCAAAAACCTTCTAAATTGAATAATTTGTATATTTTTAAGGACCATTTTAAAAATAGTTTAAACTTTCAAGTACTTAATACAGCATTTTAATTAGTATACCTTTTTTTTTTACATAAAGGAATATTTAGAAGAAAGATAACTCCTCCTCACAGACAATTAATATGACAATTTCAGAATTCAATCCTAATAGTAATTAGACTACCATTTTTAAGTAATTATTGGTATTGCAACTGCTTGATTCAGTAAATAAATTATTGTTTTAAGTAAATCAATTGAATACAATTTAAACAAGATGTGTTTGTGAAACACTAATGCCCCCCCCCCCCCCCCCATGGCAAAATAGCAAAGGTTTCACTTTTCTTATATGCAAATTCAATATATAGGTATTTCTTGATATCTCATAGGTCAAGGTCAAATGGTCAATGTTATTGGTATCTAATGAAAGGTCTTGCCGCAAAAAATACATATCTGAAATATGAAAGAACTAGCCCCAACCCTTCAGAAGTTATGGTCAAGTTTACCAACTTTGAAATGTAGATCAAACTCCATAGTCAAGGACAAAGGGTCAGATTTGGTGGTACCCAAAGAAAGGTCTTGTCACAAGGGTGAAATATGTAAAGTATGAATGCACTAACCCCAACCTTTGTAAAGTTAAAGTCAAGGTTTACTTTTTAAAAGTGGGTCAAACTCCAAGGTCAATGTCAAAGGGTCAAAGTTCTTGGTATCTAATGAATGGTCTTTTCACAGGAATTACATATATGTAAGTATGAAAGCCATATCCCTTATCGTTCAAAAGTAATGGCCAAGGTTAAAGTTTTTGCGGACAAACGGAGAAACGGACAGACAGAGAGACAGGCAGATGGACACGACAAAAACTCTATATCCCCGAAACTTCGTTTACGGGGGCAAAAAATATTAGTTATACGTATATAGGAATTAAAATAAAATTCTGATATCTTTTTTTTTCATTATAGTATATATATATAGTAATTAGACTACCAGATTTAAGTAATTTGCTCTGCAGCTGCCCTGAATCCTCCTTGGTGCAGTAAATAATTTATTGTTTTAAGTAAAACAATTAAATATAGCAATTTAAAAATATTTTAGTAATAGCTAGTAATTAGTGGTAAACTGTAAGTAAAAACCAAGTAATATGTTATTACTTACATACACAAATTTAAGTAAATATAAATTACTAAGTAAAACTTTTTTTAGAGTGTAGGCCTATTCGTATATAGTCAACGTTAAGACACATATGAGGTCACTTATATTAATCTTACCGGTGTAACGTTGAATTTTGACCCGGATTGAAAATTGACCCGGGGGTCATTTTTCAACGTTGAATAGTGAGACCAAAGGTGTTGAAGTTAGACCCTAGACCGTTGAAAACTGAGCCGGGTCGTGAAATTTTGATCATGAAACCGGTTCAAAATTCAACAGCATAAAAACACATACTTAGAACTTGGTTTTTCACAACTGTGATTTAATCAATAGGCGTCGGGAACGAGGGGGAGGGGGTGAGGATGCTAACCCCCCTTTTTTTGTAAAGATAGGCAGAATATAGGTATTGAACAATGTGAAATTGGTTTAGCCCCCCCCCCCCGCTCTCAACAGACACGTTACAGTGTAGTCAAAGAAAGAAGAGTAAGTGGTAGTGCTCTAAAAGAAAAGAAATTGGATCCTACCCCACCCACCCCAATAGGATTTTCATGTTTGGACTACTAGTTTGGACAATGGACAATTTTTCTTTTTCTTGTCAATGTTTCAGATTTGATTTTTTTTCTTTTTCGATTAGCCCCCTCCCCGCACTTTCAATTTGCTTACAACAGCAATGTAATCAATGCACGCTTAATTCAGTAATTCAGTTATATTCTTAGAATAAAATATTTTTAAAAATATCTTAGATTTCAAAGTTACATGTAGCTTAAAATCGCAATAATTCGCGTAATATTTATTTAAAAAGAAGTACATTTGTATATGTAAATACTGAATATTAGTAAGCATAGTTACAAAATATAAAATTTCGTTCAGAAATTTGTTCATTTTTATTTTTTGCTGACAACACTTCATTTATTTTAATTTTAAATTCGTAATATTAATATTTGGAAAATGATGAGAGTTTTACGCATGATGCACGTACGATTTCATGCTTATTTAGTTATGCACAATATAAATAACTTTTTTAAAAATGTTCAACTTGAAAACAGGATTTTTTCAAAATAAAAGGTTTAGTTATCTTTTCGCATAGTTAATCAAAATTTCAAGAACGAACCTAACAATTAATACATATTTATTTTGTTAGTTAGAGGATGTAAAAGGGGATGATCTCCCCTTTTTGGGATTAGTACCATATACATTTGAAGAATCTGTGTGTGTTTTTTGTTTTTTTTTTAATGTTTTGTGACTGCGCCGTTTTCTTCATTTTTGTTGTTTATTTAATCAAAAAATGTTTGCCTATGATACACAACCTTGACTTTCAGCGGTATTTAATTTTTGTTATAAAGTAGCCAAAATGCAACATTGAAGCGGCCCTTCCATCCAATTAGAGAAACATGGTTTGGTTTTCAACATTGGATAGTTTCCCTTTCCCCTTTTTGTTTGCTTGTTTGTTTGTTTCGTCTCGTTTATTTATTTTGTTTATGGTTTTTGTCACAATATTTCAGAGGGTTTTGACACCATACCCCCGCCTCCGAGAAAAACTTTAGGATCCCCCCTCTCTCTCTCTGTTTCTTTGAAGAGGAATGCGCTTTTTAGTTGTTTAGATAAAAAAAAGATGCAGGGACGGCGTTTTTTAAATTGTTGATATCAAAAATGGCGATGAAGTGCGGCTTCTAGTCATTCTAGTTCTTATTCTCAAGGTTATGCTGCAAAAACGATCGATTTTTAGGCCGAGGCAGGCTACTGACAGATAAGTTTGTTACAAGATTTTCACCAACCTTGTTTAAAATCAGCATTACTCACATGTTATGGTCGCTATATGATCTTTTCACAAATATAACCTATCACTGGTTTCATTTTAATCGATGTGTTTCATTCTACATGTAAATTTTAGGCTTTTAATTTTAATTTTTATAGTGAATTTGACTATATGCGATGTTCTGCCCACCTGATCAAAATATTATTATATAGGGCTCATTTTCTAGAAACCAGATTTCCAGGATTTTGTTTTATGCCCTATTCATAGTTTTGTAGTTATTTATGGATGTGGATTTTAGAAAGTATTGTCAAAAATAAAGTTGTCATGCTTGAAGATAACTGAAATCGTTTACTGATCAAAATGTACATATATACACGGGATGATAAGTTTATTTCTATTTTTCTTGAAAAGGGAAAAAATTGAAACTGAAATATAAATATAGAGATACAAATTAATCCCGTAAAACAACTTGCTAGTTTAAAAAATGTTTAAACTCTGAGGTAGGGTCAATATTCAACAGGGTCTATTTTCAACTTGTTGAGTTCATCGAGGATAAGAAAAAAAATATCAACCTGTTGAAAAATGACCCCGGATATAAATTCAACGACTTCTGGTCTCAATCTTTAACGGAGAAAAACACCCCTGGTTCAATATTCAACGTTGAAAAATGAACCCAGGGTCAATTTTCAACTGGGATCAATATTCAACGTTACACCGACAATATATTCTTCACTGTAAATCTTTTTTGAAATTTATATTTTCCTGAACTACAATGTCGACATCTGATAAATTTTTCCACATAAGAAAGAGGGAAAGCTGTTTCTTGTTGAAAAACAGGAGACTGCCTATAAAATTAGCCTCGTTTTGGATTTTTTCATGACTACTTAATAGGCCTTTGAGGAATAGTCTATAGTTTACTCGAGTATGTTATTTTTTCTTACTTATAATTATAACATCTTGACAATTAAAACCCATCATAAGAATATCATTATTTATTTGGATTCTTTTTATTTTGTCATTTAGTTAGAGAAGTACGTTCAGGGTTATCGACACAACGGTTAAAATGTAGCCTGGAGAATTTCCCTCGCATCAAATATATGCACAAAATGATAACATGTTTTGAAAGTACACTGAGAAAAATTGAAACTAAAAGCAACTTATCATTTGGAGAATATTTGAGTGAAAGGACGGATGTGATTCTGTATATACCATCAAATACATCTGAAGAAAATGAGACATTATTACCTCCCAAGCTTGGTTAGTGCATTATCATAGAAATTCATTATACATGAGTGTCCTTAATAGTTAATAAACAATAATCGTTATTATCATGTAATGAATAAAAACTTCTGTATTATTTAGAAACGAATATACTTCCGGAGGACAAAGTATCCATTTGGCCTGATTCTGTTCTGGTTTATTTTCAAGAAGATGGAGAAAACCTAGAACAGATTAAAAAGGTATACAGTTTAGTCACTCAGACACTCAGAATGATTTGAATTCCATGTAACGCTTATTCCATTGTTTGAATATTTTCAATCAAAATCTACCTCATCTGCAAAGATCTTTTTCGCATTAAAACAGTAGTTTTTATTAAATGCGTCTAGTATATATTCTTATAGAAACAAGGCAAATTGTAGCACTTTGGTCGTAAGGAAACTGTTAGGGAATATCCGCTCCCAAGATAGGAAAGATAGCTTTATTAATTTGTTATTCAATTCAAAAATTCTAAAACAAAGCTTAAAATGAAATCTTTCAATGCAACAAATTTCACTTTATGCATCTAAATGCGATTCAAGATTCTTTGAAGGCTTAGAAACCGTCCTATAAAAAGTTGATATTTGTACCTCATAAAAATTATTTTTAAAAAGTACATATCTTAAGAAATCCAATGTCCTTTAACCAAGCTTTATAAACCAATGTTCATATTATTATATGAAATTAGAACTGGCTTATGGTGATTTGCAATTATAGGAAATGCTTTACGTCTAAGCATCATAGCATGCTTGAAGTAAATATAAGAAACTATTAAAGCACCAAATATGTATTAAAATCATGTTTTTTTTGGAAATGTCTGTATACGTTAATTGTTTAGTCCTCAAATATATTTGTTGATCAATCTTCATAAGAAAATGTACTCGCATTCAAAAAGGATGACAGCACTTAAAAGGATATAAAAATGTGCGTCAAAATAAATATATAAAAGTTATTTTTCTTTTGATTGCAGGAATGATCAACTTTTAGTCATCAAAGTAATTACGTAATTACAATAAATAAAAGCATATATGTACATGTACATAGTACAAATCTGTTTTTTAAAGGCGGGGGTCATCATAATTTCTTCAATCTCCTTACAATAATGAAGGGGGGGGGGCATAAAAGGAATAAAGTTTATTATATTACAGTCTAAAATTTTTTTTATCATCTAAATTTGGTGCCAAATTGACAGACTTCTGCAGTAAATATATTAAAGAGAAATTATTTTAAGATTTAAAAGTAAGAGAAACAACCGAAAAAGACCCAAACCATAGCGTTAAGAGCAGTCATTCATCATTTGAGATTTTTAAAATTTGCCTATATAATATGATTAACCCCGGGTAAATACACTTACATGTACTGTAAGATTTCAGAAACATTTATGTCAGCATTTTAAAGAATATATACTGTAATGGTTTGGGTCGTGGATATAAGCCCGGATGGCTCAGTTGGTAGAGCACCTGACTGTTGATGCAGCGGTGACGGTGTCCCGGTCCACTCATACCTTTTCTCCCTTCCGGTTACAGATTTGGTACCGTTGACCACCCCTTAAATTGTAGGTGAAAGTCCTGCCAGGGGATACATGTAATAACAACTTTAGTTGTGTCTTCGAGGGCGATGACCATTTAATATGGAACGCCGTCACTGCCTTATAGCAGAACACAACAATAACATTGCGTCAACCTTTCATTACATAATGTCAACTCTATATGACATTTACTCACATTAATATTACATTGTGTCAACCTTCCATTACATTATGTCAACTCTTTATTACATTAACTCACACTACTATTGCGTTGTGTCAACATTCTACTATATTATGTCAACTCTTTATGACATTAACCCACACTACTTCTGCATTGTGTGAACCTTCCATTACATTATGTCAACTCTTTATTACATTAACTCACACTACTATTGCATTGTGTGAACCTTCCATTATATTATGTTAACTCTTTAAGACATTATCCCACACTACTATTGCGTTGTGTCAACCTTATATTATATTATGTCAACTCTTTATGACATTAACCCACACCACTATTGCATTGTGTCAACCTTCCATTACATTATGTCAACTCTTTATGACGTTTACACACACTACTGTTGCGTTATGTCAACTTTCCATTACATTATGTTAAGTCTTTATGGCATTAATTCGCACCTCAATTACATTGCGCCAGTCTTCCATTGCATTATATCAGCTCTTTATGACATTAAGGCAAAACAATTTTATGTGGTGTAAAAATGTTTTTATATAATTTCAACTCATTATTACATTATGTGCACTCTCTACTATTTGGTCTAAGTAGTTCATTACATGATGTGAATTTATCTTTAATTCAATATCAAGTCGCAATAACACGATGTCAGAATTTCATTACATGATGTGAAAAAATTGTCACATGTGGCTAATTCTTTACTATATTGTATCATCAGTATGCTACATGACGACGGGAATCTATTACATGATGGCAATTTTCCCTTACTTTTTGACAAATCATTATGTTATGCCATTGAATCTTTACATTGTGTCTAAAATGCTTAGCCTCTTGTCAGTATATCTTAGAATATTTTAACTCTTTATTGTTTGCCGTAAGGTTTAGGTTATGTCTAAAAGTTCGTTTTGTGTTTTCAATATTACATGCACATATGTTAAACATGCAAATAATTTAAATTAAACAAATCAAATCAAAGACTTAATTAATTCTTAATTAAATACCAGGTTAAAATTTATAAATAGGATCATGTTCCCGTGGAATCTTTATTGACGATAATTGTTTTTTTTAACGTCGAAATTCAATGGCCGTTAAATCTCATAAATTTTATCGCAAATCAAATAGTATGTGTCATGCAGCAATATTTTCCTTTTTATTTTGAATTATTTTGAAAAGTCCGAAACTTCTGATCTAACTACAAAACACTGTCCTATGCTTTTTATCAGTCTTTAACCCTCCTTTAAAAAAGTGTAAACGCATCGTATTTCATACATGCACTGGTGGGTGGGTGGGGAGAGAGGGGAATCTCGCCCTCCCATCTTTAATGACCAAAATATGCATGAAATTAATCAATTGGTTTAACTTTGTAGGACATTGCATTAGTTTCACATAAAGTATAACTGAAATAAGTTGAAACGGTTTATATAAAGAAAAACTTAAGCCTGAGAGCCTCCAGGCTTTCACCCCCTGGTCCCCAACTTAGACACCATACCGTCCCCCTTATAGCTACTCTTTTCAAGAACCCTAGATCGCCACTGATATGTGCCTATGTTTACTGATGCATGGTCAATTGATTTAAGTGAGGGACTGGTAAATTTCAGAATTCTAGTCCTGGAATGGTTGAAAAATGACTCATTCCAGTGACGTTGCTTCGTTTTTGAAAATTGGGCGAGGTTTGTCTTCCAGAAAAAAATCACGTACAAGAAAAAGCCAAAAAAAAAAATGTCCAAACTCGAAAATCCTTTGTCGGGTGAAGGGGGGGGGGGGGATCAAACTTCGATCAGTCCTAAATAAATTTCCAAATATACTACATTACCCATACACTTCAGCAAAAAGTGGGGCAGAATTTCAATGAACATTTTCTATGATAAAGTTATGTCGGAAAAAAAGAGGAAGCCAGACCCCCCCCCCCCCCTCATATAACGTGTCTGTACTTCGTCCAAAGTAATCAGGAACCCCCCCCCCCACCCCCTTTCCCAGTCGTGAAAACACGGTTATCAACTTTGACATAATGTAAATGTATTTTACAGCACAATGTAAAGATAGTTTTAAATCACATAAGAAAGAGTTGACATAACGTAATTATATATCCACATCACGGAATGGAGTTTTGACATAATGTATAAAGTGTTGGAACGCCGGGACTGTTTCGTATGTACACATTATGTTATAAACCTTTTTACATCACGTAATAAAGCACTGACATAAAGGTAAGATGTTTTCACCTCACATTGTGATGACCTCGGCGTAAAATAAAGATACATTAACATCACGTAATAATGCTTAAGTATAATAGAAATATACACTCACAAAAGGGAATAGACTTTGACTTAATGTAATGATAAATTTAATCATAGAACACAAGTAAAAAAACGAAATTAACTTGACGTAATGCAATTTTGACCTCACATATTAAAGAAATGAAATAATATAAAGAAACATCCACTTCACGTAATAAAGTTTTAACACAATGTAAACATATTTTCACTTTACATAATGAACTTTGGACTTCAAGTTGTAAAGTGCAGACATAATAGAAGAATGTGTTTACTTCATGTAATGCAGCATTGACATGATGTAAAGATATTTTTACATCACCCCATAAAAAATTGACATAACGTAAAGATATGTTCACATCACGTAATGATAGATTGACATAATGAATGCATAGTTTTATGCTATAAGGCAGTGATGGCGTTCCATAATTTAAGGAGGGATGAATGTGATGGTCAGGGCCGTAAATATCGGCCTAGCTCATTTGGTAGAGCACCTGACTGGAGAGGCAGGGGTCCAGGATTCGATTAGAAGTCCAGCCAAACATTTTCTCCCTTCCTGTTAACAAAATTTAACAAAATGACTGAATCAATGAACCCGAAGATAAGACTATTTTAATTTGATTTTTTTAATATTAAAATGATGATCCCACTAATGCCTTAAAATTCGATCACCAGTTATACAGTTATATGGGGCTTTTTTGGAAAAGATAGAATAAAATTAAACACAAACCGTCCGTCTGTTACGCTTTGGGGTACCCATCTCTTATCCGCAACTCCTCTCATACCACTGAATGAAATTTGATGAAACTTTCAAAGAATCTTTATTACATATTGCCATTGTGCACCTCCTATTTTACTTTTTGATCCTACACATATTTTGGGTTTCCCGGCCACAGAAAAACATGGACTTTTTCACCAGTTATAAACATATGGGAAGCGGGGGGTATCATTTAGTGAGCTCATCGCTCACAGTACCTCTAGTTTTATTTAGATATATTGCTAAAAATGATTCAGTTACATTTTAATTAAATATATATAAAAGTTAACGTCTTACCTCTCGTTTTAGTTATGCAGGATTAGATCTCGTATTAAAGATATAATTTTGCTATAAAAAACACTGCATATTTGATTAAGAAACTAGAGGTACTGTGAGCGATGAGCTCACTAAATGATACCCCCCGCCTCTCATATGGTTATAACTGGTGAAAAAGTCCATGTTTTCCTGTGGCCGGGAAACCCAAAATATGTGTCGGATCAAAAAGTAAAATAGGAGGTGCACAATGGCAATATGTAATAAAGATTCTGTGAAAGTTTCATCAAATTTCATTCAGTGGTATGAGAGGAGTTGCGGATAAGAGAGGGGTACCCCAAAGCGTAACAGACGGACGGACAGACGGACGGACGTACAGACGGACGGACGGACAGACGGACGGAATTAACGATTACTATATACCCTCCCGCTTTTCAAGCGGGGGGTATAAAAATACTGAGCGGTCACAAAGCGGTGATTTGTGGTTCATTGTAAATGTATGACTATTGTTTATTTCTCGAAGCTGCGATGTTTTCAGTTACCGTTTATTGTTCTTTTGTTTTGACAAATGTTCACTTGCTGTGTTATTCGTAGACATGACAAGATAACCGAACGTCTGTCTACTTGAAATTAAAACTCATAAAAAGTACAAACATTTTGAATCCCCCACCCCTGATGTCTCAGTCCATGTCAGCAAGCAGAAACTGCATTAGTTATAATTATTTTCAATTTCATAAAGAGTGAAAATTGTTTCAGGAGATTTTTTTTCCATTCATCAACATCTCTCTCTCTCACCCACCCCTGTCTCTTGATCAATCGATCGAACCCTAGGAAACCCTGTCTAAATACGCGCTGGTCGTTCTACATTTATCTTAATTTACAGACACTTGATTAGTTTTTTGGTCATCATCCTCTTACCTCCAACATTTTTCTGTGTTTAAAATTCTATTTACTCTCATATTTTCAAAGACAACATCCAAGAATATGACTATTGCTGTGTTCAATTTACTTATTATGATTAGTGGATTAGTGTTTATAACCGATCTAGGTAGGAATCACTAATATACCCATGTATCAGACGAATTCCCCAAAATAAATTTTGCATTTACATGCATGTACAGTGTTTTGAGAGAAGTAGTGGAATCATTGATCAGTACCCCCCCCCCCACGAAAAAAGTCTCATAATAGTATTTAAAAGGCATATTTTTTTTCTTTAATGCATAGTATGAATAGAGAAATGCTTAAACACCTAAAGTCAACATAAAATAGTTCTAGATAGATGTTTTAAGAAAGTTAAGATATACTTAAGTCACCTCTTCCGACCGCCTCAGTTTTGCTAAGATTGCCAAATCTTAGCACGCTTCTAGTTACGGTCTTAAGTTTTAGACTTTACTTAAGTCCTACTTAAGCACGGTCTTAAACTTAAGTAGCCTTTATGTTACGACCCCCTGATCTTTAATTTTCAAAAACTTCAATTTTCAAACATTAGGGCATGAGATGACACAAAACAACCAATTTTTTTCTGATTTGAGTTCACATTTTCAAAGACCCTCATCATAGAGAGTTTAGAGACATTCTAATACAATGCATGCCATGGATCCTAAATAAAAGTTAAGGTTATTACAGAGAAAGGCTCTTAAGTAAGTTTTCAGCGTGACAATCGCTACAAAATGGGTCATAATTTGACAAATGATAGCATTATATATGGATACTCGGTCTCAGGTATACTAAATTGTCAGCTGAAAGATTTCCTGAGAACCCGAATGCAGAATAACATCCGCTTCAGTATTATCTAATTTAGCATTAATAATTAATCGGGTTATTATTTTAAAAACTTTTATTTAATAAAAAAAACTACATAGTTTTAAGATGCCACTCATCGTACACGTATGTGTAAAGAACACGTTTTGTATTTTCTTCTTCTTCTTTTTTTTTTTTAGAAAATAAGAGGATTTCAGAAAACTAGCTGGAGTAGTGAGATCATTGTTCTGAGTCCAGGGACTAGATATGGATCTCAATCCTTTGGACAAAACACCTTCACAATAGTAGATTGCAACAAAAAATCTATAAGAGAAGCAATATCCAAATGTCTGGAAGCATCAGTCTCTCAGTATTTAAAAGACAAAATGTCAAACCTTATTAAAGTTGAGGAGTCTGATAAATGTTTATTGAAGGCAAAACTTTTGTCATTACAAACTCTTCTGTCGAAATCAACCCCTTGCAAACCATCCAAGAGAATTCCAAAGAAAATAAAGGATTATCTATTCGAGTTAGTAATTTTTTCAGAAAAATGTATTTTCAGATATAGTATTTTTTTTTAAATTTAAGATAAATGTCGTATATCTTTTGCAAAATATCTATTTTTCAGACATCCATCCGTCTTGAGCTTCGCGATTTGGGAAGGGAAAAAGTTCAGAATAATTGTAAAGGATATAACTTGTAAAGAAGGTCTAGAACAGGACCTAAATGCATTAGATCCTGATGGGGATTTTTTGCTGTCACACATGATTGAAATTTTAAAGGGAAGCGTAAGAGTCAGTCGCTACGTTAAACAAGGGGATAAACTTGTCCCAGGGCATAGTGTAAATGGCTCGCAAACAGAAGAAAACTATGATGCCGCGTCTACTAGTGAGAGATACGAGCTGGAAGAGTGTTGTTACGGAACATTAGGTGCTTTTATGGAAGACAAAAGTAACGGAGAACTATATGGTATAACATGTCGACATGTGATTCCACATAAACACGAAAAAGTGTACATAAGAATAGACCAAAATAAGCCACTATCTGAATTTGGTCATTCAGTGTATACTTCTGAAAAACCTTTTGAAGACTTAGCGGTATTCAAAGTAAACGATCATGTTACAGATGAATGCATAAAAACTTTTCAAAATGATGATGAATATGAATGCAATGCCACAGTTTATCCTGGACATATCTCTGATAATTTGATTGTTCATAAGAAGGGAGCAGCCACCGGATGGACTATAGGGCGGATTCAGAGTCGAGAATGTTATTCTCGTTTAATTCCTGATCAAAATGAGGTGTTCCTTGTCAACGGTTTTGATGAAGAATTCTTTTCACTCGGTGGAGACAGTGGTTCTGCAGTGTTTAAGCGTGATGAATCATTCGATCAGTCAACAGTATCCGTGCTCGGTATGGTACTTGGTGGAATGGAAAGTAATTATGAAGACCATCGTCCTGAGATAGAGAAATCTACAATGTGTTTCACTCTGAATAATTCTTTGAATGCAATGACTAAATGCAATGGCTTAGAATTAGAATTTCCATCCATAGAACGAAGTTTGTGCAACGATTCGGACTAACTCAATTTTCATTTGCAAACAACTGCTTATTTATCAAGTAAACAATATCATTTAATCTGAAGGTCCTACAATTGACATCTGTATAAATTTAATCTCTATTTTGAAAAAGCATCCTAAAAGTATTCACTAGCAGTACTACTCCCCCACCGACAAGTGTAATATGGTTCCCAATAGGAATTGAAAATGCGAATTCTGTCAAGAATCATGGAAGCTTGGCAAAATACAGACTTTATGGTTTAAAGTGACATTATATATTAAAACTCAGCTAACTCACTGCAAGCGTTAAAATACGTGAAAGAGCCTGTCATTCGTTACAAAACATTGATGCGAAACGAATTGCTAACTTGATCTGTAATCTATCAAGATACACTCACATATCAAAATTCAGCTTAAAATCTACAAGCGTCTAGGAAAAAATTGCAGAAAACCAAGTGAGACAGACTGCTAGACATACAGATGGCAGACTCAGAGCAAACATTAAGTCCTCTTTAATTTTACGTATAGGGGAAAAAAAGAGTTCAAAGCGATGTTTATAACCAAATAATGTTTTTTTTTATATATATATTAAGCAGATGGATGATCTAGAAGCAAACAATATTTAAAATGAAAATATTTTTAAAAACAAAATCAATTATGTAGTTAATTGGATCCCAAAAAATCTAAAATCATTACTTTGTTAAAAAAAATATGCCAAAAATAAAGTTTTAGATAAAATATGTAAGTTATATTTTCTTATTTTTTTTTCCTTTTTGCTTTTCTTTGTTTTCATGTTTTATTGCTTAAGTAGATCGTTGAAATTGTAATATAAATATTCAATCCCGAATTTGCTTTTATGATGAAACTATATATATTTATTTTCGGATAAAACTATAGATAAAAATTAACTAATTGTTTTATTTCGCAAATGATATAAAAACCATGATCAATAAATACAAAAGCATTGTTGTCTCTGTGATCTTTTTTTTTTTTACATATCTGTGCATAGAGAAAAAAATATTAAAAAAAGGAACACATTTTTAGCTCACCTGAGCCGAAGGCTCAAGTGAGCTTTTCTGATCAAAATTTGCCCGTTGTCTGTCGTCGTCGTTAACTTTTCACAGTTTTGACTTCTTCCCAAGAACCACTGAGCCAATTTCAACCAAACTTGTCACAAAGAATCCTTAGGTAAAGGGGATTCCAGTTTGTTCAAATGAAGGGCCACGCCCTCTTTCAAGGGGAGATAATTATGAATTAGTGAAAATTTCATGGTATTTTTTAAAAAAATCTTCTTTTCAAGAACCACTGGGCCAAGAAAAATGAAACTCATGTGGAAGCATCCTCAGGTAGTGTAGATTCAAGTTTTTTTTTTCAAATCATGACTCCTAGGGATAGGATGAGGCCACAATGGCCGATCAATGTTTTACATATGAGTATATAAGGAAAATCTTTTAAAATCTTCTTCTCAAGAACCACCGGGCCAGGACAAATGGAACTCATGTGGAAGCATCCTCAAGAAGTGTAGATTCAAGTTTGTTCAAATCATGACCCCTCGGTAAGGTGGGGCCACAATGGCCGATCAATGTTTTACATAGGAGTATACGAGGAAAATCTTTAAAAATCTTCTTCTAGAACCACTGGGTCAGGACAAATGAAACTCATTTGGAAGCAACCTCAGGTAGTGTAGATTCAAGTTTGTTTAAATCATGATCCCGGGTGTAGGGTGGGGCCACAGTGGCCGATCAAAGTTTTACATAGGAGTAGATAGGAAAATCGTCTTCTCAAGTACTTCAAAGCAATGATTATTGATAGTATAGGAAGAAAATGTTATCAAAAAAATCTTTTTATGAAGAACAGCAAAGTCATATGCTGTATTAATATGAAGGCATTCTAAAGTAGTATTAAATTCAAGCCCCCCACACCTTCAGTAAACCTTCCAGTTCTGATCTGATTTGTGTTTTTTCCTAGACGATTTGTTCAGGTGAGTGATGTGGCCCCTTTGCCTCTTGTTTTCTACCTTGAACGAACATTTAATTAGCAAATGATATTTTAATTTTATTTCACCCGAAATAAGGAAAGTATTTGTTAAATGTACAGGTACATAGGAGCAAGTTCAAATTATAAGCCACCATAGGGTGACTTTCCTGTCACCGAGGGGCAAATATTCTGGTATAGTCGCCCCATGCCCCATAGAGACCATGTAAAAAAACTAACTCATTTAAAAATCATTGTTGAAATTTTCACAAATGATCCAGAAATGCTTTTTTGACGTTAAGAATAACGCTCCGTTGTTTACATTTGCTTAGCAACGACGTCATAACATCTTGAACCCGAGCTAATATGCGTAACGTAAAAACGCGTGAACGTGATCGAGAGGGTGACATAACTGCTTCTGTCGGGGGGGGGGACATAACTGTTTCTGGCGTGTGACATTACTGTTTCCGGTGTAATTCAGAAATTTTCAGGGTTTATAGCGAAACTTATTACATTTGTGAATAAAAGGAAAACTTTTCTAAGAATATTATATTGAAAATTTTCACCCCAAGAAAACCACTGTCAACCTCGGCTGCGCCTCGGTTGACAATGGTTTTCTTGAGGTGAAAATTTTTAATGTTACACTCAACTCGGCTGCGCCTCGGTTGACAATGACTTTCTTGGGGTGAAAATTTTCAATGTTACACTCAACTACATGCAATATTTATATAATTAATACTGCCCGTGTTTAACCGTGTATAATGTAAATGTACTAAGAGATCGACTATGACGTCAACGACTCGTTGGACGAAGTGTACAGAAACAGAAGTGTGGATCAATCTATTACGTAATTTGATAATATTTGCAGGAAAATTTAAATCTTTTAGATATATTTTTATGAAAGATGAGGAACTCAAACAAAATGTCAAAACATTATACAAGTAATATGGTTCTAATTAGGCTTTTTACACACGAGGGGCATTTCAAAAGTATTATCAGAGACTATGACGTAATCAAACTGAGTCATGTTACAATGTATCCTTCGTCCCCTTAAGTTTTGAAGTTTTTTGTAAGTTATTAGTGTGTGAATCACATAGAATTGTCACGTAGGAATATATTCCATGAAGCGCGCTAGGCCTGCAAGTCTGTGTGATTCACACACCGATAATTCACACTAAACTTATAAAAGAAAGTCCTTATATTTACAATTTACATGTTTGGATATTGAATATATGAGGGTTCCATATTAACAACAACAATGCGATTGTTTTTTGTCATGTAATTTATTCATGTATTCATGTGTAATTTTAGTTTAAATATTGGGCTCTTTAGCATATAAATTCCAAAAGGAGCCATGGCTACCACCGATTTAGATGCAAAGTCTTTAGATTGTGAGTAGTAACAAAATGTAATGTTCTTTTTAAGTAGTTAATTTGGTTTAGATAGTCATTAAAGTGTTTAAAATTATTTTAAGGTGGCTCATTACATCCACAGTTTATTTTAGATTTCAATACAGCACCATTTATAATGTAGATGTCAAATATCCAGATGGGGGTATTGATATCATAAATATTTTTTATAGAATTTTTTAGTTTTTGTTTTAATTAAGTGAAATGTTTTATTTCAGGTTTATTATTCACAGAATTTCAGAACGTTCAGTGTCAAATGATGGGCATCTTCTTAAGACAAGTACACAAAGTGAAAATACCTCATAATACCTAATAATAATTTTATTAGAAAAAATAATTTTCTCCTAGAAAACAATTAATGTCATTATCTTTTTAATCTATGCATAAAACATTTAAAAAATGTGTTCTGAAGAGACAAAGAATGTATTTCAATGAATTACATGTGTCAAATTGAATGAAGAAAGTTTAAACGAAATGAAAAATCCAATTTGAAAAATATTTGGTATAAAAAGTCCACTTTCAAGAGTTATCTTTCCTAATTAGCCAAGACTCAAAACACTATGGAACGTTTGACATTACATCTAAAATTCAGAATCAAGCTTTAAATTGCCAGAGTATACATTTAAATCAATAAAACAAATATATAAATTAACACCAACACAGTAAATAGCGCAATTAAATGAAATTTTAATTTCAACAAGATTGTAGATTTTAACTCGAATTTCCTCCATACATGTCAGTGATTACACTGCGTGCATGGCTATGAAATTGACATTACTTGTTTGGCGAAGATTTGACTTGCTTTCTTTTGTTTCTGCCTAAAAGCAATTCTTCTTGGTTTATGCACAATGAATCCGATACTTTGTTTTCACTGTTTACAACACCGCATGTTTCATCTATTTTTAAAGCGTTTTAAAGGTCAGGGTCATACTATAGAGGTACCTATACAACTTGTCCCCTGAGCAAACCGGTCGACACAATGGAGGTTTATTTTTTTGTGTAGTACGTCATCAAAAAGTGGTGTAATGAGCCTCCTTAAGTTCTGTAGTTAAAATCTGAATCTATTTCCTAATTAAAGGATGACAGTGTTGCTTTGTAGAAATCAATTTTGCCTGAATACCTAACAAGTCATGGATTTAAAGATCTTATCAAAAAAATTCGTGACATTAAACTCTTATGCTGGGCTTGTCGAGGGAGCAGTTACTACCTATGTTTATGTCTTAGCTTTGATGCAGCACCAGGGATTAAAAAATGAACCAAGGACCTCAAAAGCACGAAGCGACTTCTTCACAACAATGCTACATGTGTATTCCAGTAGGGTTTAAACCAGTCTAAAATTACTTGAACAAGTACACAAATTTATATTCCTTAAACTTATTAAATCCTTACCCCTGGTTATTTAGATCTTGTAAAAGATCTTGTAAAAGTCACTAGATTATCTCATAATCATGCAATGCCGTATAAACGTAGCATCCATTGAGGCAAGCTGAGTAAAAAAAAAAAAACTCACAATAGATTTTGAGTATTTATTTTAGAAACCATTACCTTGAACTTATATACAACTCTACGCACTTTTTAAACTCACATGGTTTTTGCACAAATTAAACCTTGTACCCCTCCCTCCTTCAAAAAAAGCGGACCCCTCCTCGATTACGTGGATTAGTTTATACATTTAATCTGCAAACTCCAACCCCTCCATCCTCTAGATCCTCACATGCTATGATACTGCTAAACAGGGTCATGTGACTTTGTGTCCTACATAACCTT